TATTGCATATCATAGATATATTTTCAAATTAGTTTTATCTGTGTGGGATATATAAAGATTCGTCAAAGTCTCATAGCTGCAAGATCTTTGATTCCTCTATTGAACTTATTCATAGTTAGAATTTGTTTGTTAGAATTAGCTTTCGTTCATTCAGAAGGATTATAAATTTGGAATCTGATAATAAGTTCAATAGTTTATAAACAATCTGATGAGCGTTTCGACCCTAAGTCGGATAACCTAATCAATCAGTTGATATCTTCTTAGCTTAATGAATATATCTTTCCCCGAAAAAATAAATTTCGGTCGAGCACTTTAGAGAGAAAGCCCGAATTTGTAAACAGTGACTGCTACTGCTGATAATGCAAAGCTCTTCTATGAATCGTGCACTCTGAGTCACTGGCGTGTTTCTTAAAAAAAAAAACATAAAATATCACCTCCCTCTTTGCCGAGCGACGATAGCTTAGGGGAAAAATCTCTGACTGATACCAAATCAGTCGTGTTTCTACCTAGCTTGAGGTAATCAGATGTCTAACCACACTGATGAGCTGTGATACAGCGAGACAGTCTGTCTGTGGATGAAAATTTATATGTATATATGTTTTATTTAAAAAAAAATATTTTAAATCACGACACGGAAATTTCTATGTTTCGGAACTTAAATTTATTCGATTATCAAGCGTTATTGGGCATTTAACGTTATTTTTAGTGGATACTCATATTTGAGTAGACGTTCCATTTATTTATTAAACAATATATGTATTTATTTCCGTCTGCTGGACTTAATATTCGAAAAAAAACTTGTTAAACAAAAATATACACTTTCTGGCAGGATTCAAACCAGCGTACTTGCTGGCAGAGTGAAACTATCGTTAGATCCGACGTACGTTAACCGTCTCGGCCACGCTGAACTAGCAAAATGCGAATTGTGCTTGTAAGCGAAGTCCTTCCCGTATTAAATTTCTCAAATTTGTCATGAGAGCTCAGATTCGTATCCGAAGTAATTTTCTAAGATAATGTACTTTTAGTTTTCAATCCGGCATACATTTTATCATTTTAATTTTAATTTTAATTTTATTGGATATTTTATTTGAGTAGACACTCTATTTATTTATTAAACAGTATTTTATTTCGACCGTACATTTTTCTTTACGTATGCAGGCCGGTCAATAAATATGCTATTTAATGAATAAATGGTACTGTTTACTTAAGTATGAGTATCTATTAAATACAACTGTTTTTATATATTTAAATATATATATTTCTAAAGAAAGGAATGGATTTCATTTTTTATTAATCCGACTGATTTTATTTCTTAAAATAAAAATTAAAATAAAATCAGTCGAATTAATAAAAAAAAGAAATCCCTCCCTTTCTTTAGAAATTGCTTTGTTTACGTTAGGATACGAGACTGAACACATATGTCTATTTCGAGAGAGTCAGAGAAAGATCTGTGTTTAAACGAAATATTCCAACTTTGCTTGATCATCGACGTTTTTCTCTGCCAAGAGGTCTAAAGCATGTCAGAACTAACGACGGTTTCTCCTGTCCAGGGGGGGTTGAATTCCAGAGAGTGCATATTTTGGTTTATTATTTTTTCTCGAATATTCAGGCTGGTAGACGAAAATATAACAAATAGTTTGTTTATTAAATAAACGGTCCGTCTACTCCAATAAGAGTATCCACTAAAAATAACGTTTGATGAATGGTAACACTATATATATATATATATATATATATATATATAATTTTAGTAATTCATCGAGTGTAGGAGAATCCTCAACAGAATACAGAAAGCACTGGATGGCTGTTTCGTCCTGTTTTGGGACTTATCAGCAGTGCCCATCCACTACTGAGATGAGTCCAAAAATAGTGCTGATAATATATATGTGCGTGAACATTGAAGTTACCACTCAGAGGCGACAGGCTGTTTTATGCTGGTCGCAATCATCAGACCGCGTTTCCAAATGTGCCGCCTGCTGAAATCGTCCCTTCCAGTCCGATAACATCATGAAGTCTCCTTCCTGACGAATAGACTATGGTTAGACTCGATCTCAAATCACATCGCCTGAATGCGAAAGTTCTAACCTCTCGACCACGTGCCCATAATCAAAGCAGGTAGACATTCGAAATTATATATTATATATAAGAGATAAAATATCCAACCAAATATTAACAGATCACCAAGGAATGGATGTAAGAAGCATTATTACTGAAGTTTAAATTCATTCATTCAGAACGATTACAAATAAATATATCAATTGATGCTTTGTTACCAAAAAGACATCGAATAAGACGAAAGCACTCGATAAAAGAACATCTGTTGTGTCATAATGAAAAGGTTCAAAACTGATATATTGACGAAAACTAAACTGAACTGAATTTCAATCCAAGAGAATTATGTTACCTAAACTTTATGAATTTAAGCGCAGTACTAGATTGGAAGAAAGGTCTTATTGTAAAGTTGACATGGCTGGATATAACCGTGAGTATTCATATATACAAGAGTAAAATTATTATTTGTTTTTCAAAATCTTGAAATTGAATTCATCAGGTTAGATGAAAAGTCAACATTATAAATTTACATGCGTATCTTAAACTAGGATGATCAAAATCTTGAGGAGTGTAAGCTTTAGCGTACCTTATTTTCATTATCCCGATGCGTGCTGATCTGAATCTTTCGACGTGCTCTGTTCACGTAATTACGATAACTTGCATGGCACTCCTTAATGATCATAGCTTGTACTACTGAATGACCATAGTTTCTACTCCTAAATGACAATAGCTTAGGCTCCTGAATGGCCACAGTTTCTACTCCTGAATGACAATAGCTTCTACACCAGAATGACAATAGCTTCTACTCAAGAATGACAATAGCATCTACTCCTGAAGGACGACAGTTTCTACTCCTGAAAGTCAATAGCTTCTTCTCCTGAATGACCACAGTTTCTACTCCTGAATGACAATAGCTTCTACCCCTGAATGACAACAGTTTCTACTCCTTAATTACCACAGTTTCTACTCCTGTATGACAATAGCTTCTACTCCTTAATGACCACCATTTCTACTCCTGAATGACAAAAGCTTCTACATCTGAGTGACAACAGTTTCTACTCCTGAATGACAATAGCCTCAACTCCTGATTTAAAATGGTTTCTACTCATGAATGACCACAGTTTCTACTCCTTAATGACTACCATTTCTACATCTTAATGACAATAGCATCTACTCCTGAATGGCCACAGTTTCTACTGCTGAATGACAATAGCTTCTACTCAAGAATGACAATAGCATCTACTTCTGAATGACCAAAGTTTCTAGTCCTGAATGACAATAGCTTCTACTCAAGAATGACCACAGTTTCTACCCCTGAATGACAATATCTTCTACTCCTGAATGACAATAGCATCTACTCCTGAATGGCCACAGTTTCTACTCCTGAATGACAATAGCATCTACTCCTGAATGGCCACAGTTTCTACTGCTGAATGACAATAGCTTCTACTCAAGAATGACAATAGCATCTACTTCTGAATGACCAAAGTTTCTAGTCCTGAATGACAATACCTTCTATTCCTGAATGACCACAGTTTCTACTCCTGAATGACAATAGCTTCTACGCCTGAATGACAATGATTTCTACTCATGAATGACTACAGTTTCTTCTCCTGAATGACAATAGCTTCTACTCCTTAATGACCACAGTTTCTACCCGTGAATGACAATATCTTCTACTCCTGAATGACAATAGCATCTACTCCTGAATGACCACAGATTGTACTCCTGAATGACAATAGCTTCTACTCCTGAATTACAATGGTTTCTACTCATGAATGACCACAGTTTCTTCTCCTGAAAGACAATAGCTTCTACTCCTTAATGACCACAGTTTCTACCCGTGAATGACAATATCTTCTACTCCTGAATGACAATAGCATCTACTCCTGAATGACCACAGATTGTACTCCTGAATGACAATAGCTTCTACTCCTGAATTACAATGGTTTCTACTCATGAATGACCACAGTTTCTTCTCCTGAAAGACAATAGCTTCTACTCCTTAATGACCACAGTTTCTACCCCTGAATGACAATATCTTCTACTCCTGAATGACAATAGCATCTACTCCTGAATGACCACAGATTGTACTCCTGAATGACAATAGCTTCTACTCCTGAATTACAATGGTTTCTACTCATGAATGACCACAGTTTCTTCTCCTGAAAGACAATAGCTTCTACTCATGAATAACCACATATTCTAACCATGAACACAACATGTTTAATAACTACATCTTCTTTGTAAAAAAAACTTTCAGGAAATTAATTTTTACATAAGTGTCGTATTTTCTTTGCTCGTCCTGTATATATTGTTTAAATCTAATGGAAACTATTGAATTTACTGTGCTTGTATTTATAAACAGGAGGAAGAGAAATCAACAATTTCTGGTTATTTTCAGTTTCACGAAGAGTGTGCTATTCAGACCATATCTAGCATAAACCCAACCAATATTTGCGTTTTAAGTTTGGCATGAACTCGAAAGTTATGATTATTATCAGTTTCAAGTAGGCAGCGGTCTTCAGGCCACATCCGGAATAAGCCTGACCAATATTTGCGTGTTCATCTGGTATAAACTCGACTTCCTGCTTATTGTCAGTTTCAGACAGCAAGCAATCTTGACAACATATCAGGCTTAACTAATACCAATATTTGCGTCTTAAGTTAGGAATAAATTCTACATTGATGTTATTGTCAGATTCCCGTAGGAAGCGATGTTCAGACCCTATCTAGCATAAACCTAACCAATGTTTGCGTCTTAAGGTAAACATAAATCTGACTTTATGTTTATTGTCAGTTTCACCAAGGAAGCGGACTCCTGAACATATCTGGTATGAAGGCGACAAATGTTTTCGGATTAAGTTAGACATAAGGCCGACATTAAAGTTATTGTCAGTATCATAAAGGAAGCGGTCTTCAGACGATATCAATCATAACCCAAACCAATGTTTTCATCTAAAGTCAGGTATGAATTCAGTATTAGTTATTGACAGATTAATGAAGGAAACGATCTTGAGATTATATCTAGCATAAACGCAACAAATTCAACTTTATTGTTATTGCCCGTCTCGCCAAAGAAGCAAACATCAGAACATATCTGTCAGAAGCCAACCAATGTTTTCGGTTTAAGTTAGGCACAAACACGATTTTGTAGTCATCATCAGTTAACGAAGCAAGTGATTTTCAGACTATAACTGGCATATACCCGACCAATATTTACGTCTGAAATCAGGCATTAACAAGATTCGTGGTCATCATCAGTTTCACGAAGCAAGTGATCTTCATATCATATCTGGCATAGACCCAAACAATGTTTGCGTCTTAGGTTAGTCATAAAAACGATTTTAGGATTGTCAGTATGACGAAGGAAGCTATCTTCTGACATTGTTTTATAAACACGACCTATAAATGAAGTCAGACAGAAACTCTTTTTTATTATTTACACGATAGAAGTGCTATTCAGATCATATCTATCATGAACACAATCAATGTTTGTGACTGAAGTAAGGAATAAACATGACTTTGTTGTTTATTGTCAGTTTTATGAAGGATGCCATCTTCAGACCATATTTGGTATAAAAGAGACGAATGTTTGCCTCTTATGTTAGTCATACACACGAATATATGGCTATTGTCATTTTGATGAAGGGAGCGATCTTCTAATAATGTCTAGCATGAACGCATCCAATGTTTGCGTCTGAAGTCAGACATAAACTCGAGATAATAGTTGTTTTCAATTTTCCGAAGGAAGGAAATATTTCCGTGTTAAATGACTCATTAATTTCATTTTATAATTTTTGTCAGTTTCACCGCAAGATGCAAGTTTAATCCCATAATGGCTATAAACCCGACCGAATATTTACGTCTTTAAGTTATGCATAATTCGGTGTTATGATTATTGTCAGTTTGAAGATGAAAGCGACCGTCAGATCATATTTGGCATAAACCCGACCAATATTTGCATGTTACGTTAGGAATCAGTAGATTTTATGGTTATTGTCTGTTTCAAGATGCAAGAGATCTTCAGAACATAGCTGTCATAAGCCCGTCTAATGTCTGCGTCTTAAGTTGGGCATAAACACGACTTTTTGGTTAATGTCATTTTGAGGAAGGTAGCCATCTTCAGACAATATCAAACATAAGGAAGATTAATGTTTGCTTCTTAAGTCAGACATAAATTCTAGTTTACGGTAAGTGTCATTTTTATGAATGAAGTGATCTTCAGGCCATATTTGGCCTTATCTCGACCAATGTTTGCTTCTTAAGTCGACATAAATTCTAGTTTACAGTAAGTGTCATTTTTATGAATGAAGTGATCTTCAGGCCATATTTGGCCTTATCTCGACCAATGTTTGCTTCTTAAGTCAGGCATAAATTCGACTATATGTTTATTGTCAGTTCAAGGAAGGGAGCGATCTTCATGCCATATCTCGCATAAACCCAATCAGTGTTTGTGTTTTCATTTAGGAATAGACTCGACTTTATGGTTGTTGTCTGTTTCACGAAGGAAACGATATTACACCGATATCTAGCAGAAACACGGCCAATGTTTTCGTCTTAAGTTGGGCATAAACTCGACTGTAGGGTTATTGTCAGTTCCCCGAAGTAAGCGATCGTCAAATCATATTTCGCATGATGCCGACCAGTGTTAAGTCAGTCATAAATTCGACTTTATTGTTTTTGTAACTTTCACGAAGGACGTAAGCTAAACACTGTAATAGGCATAAACCCGACCAATATTTGCGTTTTGAGCTAGGCATAAACCCGGCCTTTTGGTTATTGTCAGTTTCACGATAAAAGCAATCTTCAGACCATGTTTTGTATAAAGCCGACCAATATTTGCGTTTTGAGCTAGGCATAAACCCGGCCTTTTGGTTATTGTCAGTTTCACGATAAAAGCAATCTTCAGACCATGTTTCGTATAAACCCGACCAATATTTGCGTCTTGAGCTAGGCATAAACCCGGCCTTTTGGTTATTGTCAGTTTCACGATGAAAGCAATCTTCAGACCATGTTTCGTATAAACCCGACCAATATTTGCGTCTTGAGCTAGGCATAAACCCGGCCTTTTGGTTATTGTCAGTTTCACGATGAAAGCAATCTTCAGACCATGTTTCGTATAAACCCGACCAATATTTGCCTGGTAAGTTATGAATAAACTCAATTTTATTGTTATTGTCTGTTTCAGGAAGGAACCTAATTTCAGTCCACATCTACCATGAAGCCGACCAACGTTTTCTTCTAAAGTTAGGCAGAATCTCGTATATTCTTATTGTCAGATTTATGAAGAAAGCGATCTTCAGACCATAAGGGGCATAAACTCGATTTTAATGTTATTGCTAGTTTCTCGAAGGATGCAATCTAAAGAGCATATCTATAATAAATTCGAACAATGTTTGCGCCTAAAGTCAGTTATATATTCGACTTTAAATAACTAAAGAATTTGACATGTCGCCAAAAGAACCAACATAAATTAAATTAAACTTCCTCTCTTTTCGATTGACGGCATTTGCTTCCGGAGTATCTCACCGTTTAGATAATTGTCCTGAGTTCATAGATAATGCATATTTCTCGATGCCATATTCCATTTCCATGAGTGAAGACTGACGAGGCTCACTTTAGTTCCGGTCTCTCATTCCATGTATGCTTGTGAAACCCAAAGTCAAAAAAATAAATAAATAAATAAAATGAATTGTACTGCATTTGGGAGACATGATCGAGTTTGATAAAAACCTTGGTTAGATCCAGTAACTAGACCCAAAGTGTTGTGAGTTCAATACCAGGCTGCAACAGTGGTGAACCAAAAGATTTGGTGTGGTAAGTTAAAGGGAAGAAACTGAGACATCCGGAAGAGGCATGGCACGTGGAACTAGAACAATCTACCCCGGTGGAAGAAACAAAGGGTTCGTTTCGAAATTCCAATCGTCTGAAGAAGGCCGGAGGGTACAATTGCCGAAAATGTCTATATTTCTGAGATGAGGTATTATGTACACTATTTACATTATTCGGACTATTGCCCTCATCTTTGTCGCCATATTTATTACAACGTTTCGGCCGTTGTACGCTCCGGCCTTCTTCAGTATCTGTCTATATTTCTGAGATGAGGTATTATGTACACTATTTACATTATTCGGACTATTGTCGTTATCTTTGTCGCGATATTTATTACAACGATTCGGCCGTGGTACAATCCGGCCTTCTTCCGGTGGTTGGAATGTCGAACTGAACTCTTTCGCTCACTGGGTTAGACAGGAGATAATTGCTAACTGACATCCATTAAACATGGCACATGGAAGTAGAACAGTCTATACCAGTGACTGAAATAAAGATTTCAGTTCGACATTCAAACCATCTGAAGTAGGCCGGAGCGTACAACGGCCGAAACGTTGTAATAAATATAGCAACAAAGATGAGGACAATAGTCCGAATAAAGTAAATAGTGTACATAAGACCTCATCTCAGAAATATAGACAAATACTGAAGGGCCGAAACGTTGTAATAAATATGGCGACAAAGATGAGGACAATAGTCCGAATAAAGTAAATAGTGTGCATAAGACCTCATCTCAGAAATATATACAAATACTGAAGGGCCGAAACGTTGTAATAAATATGGCGACAAAGATGAGGACAATAGTCCGAATAAAGTAAATAGTGTACATAAGACCTCATCTCAGAAATATATACAAATACTGAAGGGCCGAAACGTTGTAATAAATATGGCGACAAAGATGAGGACAATAGTCCGAATAAAGTAAATAGTGTACATAAGACCTCATCTCAGAAATATAGACAAATACTGAAGGGCCGAAACGTTGTAATAAATATGGCGACATAGATGAGGACATTAGTCCGAATAAAGTAAATAGTGTACATAAGACCTCATCTCAGAAATATAGACATATACTGAAGGGCCGAAACGTTGTAATAAATATGGCGACAAAGATGAGGAAAATAGTCCGAATAATGTAAATATTGAACGGCCGAAACGTTGTGAATATGACAATGAAGACGAGGATAACAGTCCGAATAATGTAAGTAATGACTTTTTAGACATTTTGATTATTTCATAATTTTTATGTCGGGTTTACAATTATTGTTAAGTTTTATCAAGTGTGGGGAGGCGTCCAGATTTCAGCACAAATTTTCCAAAGAAAGACGTTTTGGATTAAGGTCTGGAAGTTGAAGGTACCCCAAAAGCGGATCGATCTAAGAAAATACAACTCTTTCAAACGCTTTTCTCATCTTTTGTGTAACACCTTCAGATACGGTCTTGTAAGACTGGGCGATCAGATAAATCCCAAAACATCAATTCTTAAATTTGCAGCTCTTAAGTTGAGTCCTAAAGAGATAGGCGTTTTCCCAGACAATACACTTCCACGGTGTGTGTGTGTGTGTGTTTGTGTGTGTGTGTGTGTGTGTGTGTGTGTGTGTGTGAGGGGGAAGAATTAACAAGAGCAGCAACAACAACAACAACAATAATAATAATAATAATAATAATAATAATAATAATAATAATGAAAGATTCTGGCTGGAAAACTGAAAACCGCGGGAAAGAAAAGTTAATAAAAACAACAATAATAATAAAAATAATAATAATTAAAATATTATTAGTGATAATAATATTGATAAAGCAATAATAATAATAATAATAATAATAATAATATCTTCTACCGTTCTAATCCATTTGTTACGTTATGGCAAATTAAACTAAATTCACTCAAGTATTTGTGATCATCATTGCTTGAATATTTCTTCTTCTTCTCCTTCCCATTAAAATTATTAATATTATTGTTATTGTTATTATTATTAATATTATTGTTATTATTATTATAGTTATTGGCTTCATTTTCTTTCGCCGATTTAATAAATTAGTTTTGAAGCGTTGTGACATACTTTTCTTTTTGTTTTTTCCTTAACTTGGCGTTCGTGATTACATTCGGCCGCCTAGAAAATTTCTCTCTGAACTTTCTTCTCTTGCTCTCTCTCTCTCTCTTTCTTTCTTCTCTTTCTCCATCCCTCACGCACTGACATACAGACACATTACTTCACCTTCTCCCTTTCTTTTTTAGTTGTTACGCCTGCAAGACATGTTATACGTCTGATTTGAAAATTTTGTCTGTATTCGCTACTTCGAATTTTCCTTACGCGTTACTTTCATCATTTCCTTCTTTATCACTCTCTCTTTCTCTATTTATCTCATTCTCTCCTCACACGCACACACACACTCGGAGAGAGAGAGAGAGAGAGAGAGAGAGTGGGGGAGGGGGAGGGGAAAAAGAGAGAAAGACAGAGAGCGAATGTATGTATATTATATTCAAATTTATTTCTTTGATTATGCAATTTTCCGCTTCTATTTCTTCCGCAGTCTGTACATCTGTGCAAACCAATCTATCTATCTATCTATCTATCTATCTATCTATCTATCTATCTATCTATCTATCGATCGATCGATCGATCTCATTCAATCCATATCTATCTATCTATCTATCTATCTATCTATCTATCTATCGCATTCACTACAATATCTATCTCATTTAGTATATCTATCTATCTATCTATCTATCAATCTATCGATCGATCGATCTCATTCAATCCATATCTATCTATCTATCTATCTATCTATCTATCTATCTATCTATCTATCGCATTCAGTACAGATCTATCTATCTATCTATCTATCTATCTATCTATCTATCTATCTATCTATCTATCTATAGATCGAATGATCTCATTCAATCCATATCTATCTATCTCTCTATATATCTGTCTATCGCATTCAGTACAGATCTATCTATCTATCTATCTATCTATCTATCTAATTCAGTACATATCTATCTATCTATCTATTTTATTCAATACATATCTACCCATCTATCTATGCTTCTCTATTTTTCTCTCAGCCTTCAATATGGATTCTTTGTAGATATTACTCATAATCAATTTTTAAAGACATAATATTGATTAATAAGTTGCAAAATGCAATCTTTTCTTTTGACTTTGTTCCATTAATATCTTTTTTGAAAATTTCTCTTTAGTCAATTCCTCTTTTCTTTCTTTTAGCCTTGATTCGATTTGAAATTCTTTGAAATTTTCTAATTGCTTCGAACTTTTCTGGGAAAAAAAATGTGGGCGGGTCGTCTATTCAGAAAATGCCAACTGATTTAGTTTTTTGAAAAAAATATTTTATTTCGCATTTTTCTTGCTTTTCAAAATTGATTTTTTTTTCGTTCATTTTCATTTCTTTTTAGATTTTACTTTCTTCTATCTTTCTAATTCGATCTTGCAATAGTCTCTCTCCCCATCTCTCTCTCTCCCCATATATATATATATATATATATATATGTGTGTGTGTGTGTGTGCGCGCGTGTGTGTGCCTGTGCGTGTTTGTGTGTACATATATCTATCTAGTGTTTGCTTTTTTATTTTGATTAACCCGTCATGTATTTGCCTTTTTATTCTTTCCTTTTTTTTTCTCTTTGTCTTTTTACAACTTTCTCTTTGTTTTCTCTTTCTTTTTTTTTTATTTTTCTTTCTTTCGTTCTTTATTCCTTTTTCTTTCTTTTCTTTTTTTTCTCCTTCATTATTTGCTTCTTTCTTTCCTGGCCCATTTCTTTCTTTTTGTTTGTTTCTTTCTTTCTTTCTACGTTTCTTCTTTTTCATTTCTTTCTTTCTTTTTCTTTTTCTTTTTCTTTCTCTCTATTTCATTGTTTGCTTTATTTCTTTCCTTCTTTCTTTGCATTTTCTTTTACCATTCGTTCTTTATTTTTCTCTCTGTCTTTCTTTTTATTTCATTCTTTCCTTCTTTCTTTATTCATTTTTCTCTCTTTGTTTTTCTCTTTCTTTCTGTACTTCTGTCTTTCTTTATTTCAGTTTCTCTTTCTTTCTTTCTCTCTCTCTTTCTTCATGTCTTATTTATTTATTCATTTATTTTCTTTCATTCCTTCCTTCTTTCTTTCTTTTAATATCTTTCTTTTTCTTTCTTTTTTTCTTTGATTTCTTCTTTCTTTATTTATTGCCTTCTTTATATCTTCTTCCTTTCTTTGTTTATTATATTGCATTTCTTTTTTCTTCCTTTGTTTTTCTTTCTTTATATTTCTTTCTTTCCTTCTTTATATTTTCTTTCTTTCTTTCTTTCTTTATTTCACTTTCTTTCATTCTTTCTTTCTTCCTTTATATTTCTGTCTTTCTTTTTTCCTTCTTAATTTCATCATATATCTTTCATCTTTCTTTCGTTATTTCTTTCTTCCCCTCTCAACAGTTATTTTCATTCCTGTTTTCCTCTAATCTTTCTGATAGAAACGATTTTCATATTTGTTGTTTTCAGTCTTAAACATTTCGTTTTGGTTTCTTTTCCATTCATTAGGATTTCTCTTTCGTTTCTTCCCGTTTCGCCATTTCACTATTTTCCTCCTACCATTTGTCGTCCATTTTTAGTGACTCATTTTCTTTCTTTTTTCATTAAGTTATTTTCCACATTAATTATAAACTTTTTTATTTGGATGTCATACTTTTTGATCTTCAGCAGATAGCAATTTCATTTTTCAAGCTCAGTCTTTCTTAATTAAAAGGACTTGCTTTTTTATTTTTATTCATGTCTCTTTTCCTTCTATAAATTAATTGTTATAACTTCTTTAAAATGTATCCTTCTTAAAGGTCCTTTTTAATTTACTTATAGAAGCAGAGGAGGTTTGCCTGTCCAAAGGTTCACGAGATTCTCCGGTCATTTGAACACAATTAGAGTTTTATCCCCCGTTTCCTTTTAAAAAAACTCTGAAATTTTATGTACTATCTGTCCTTCAATAGGAGGAGATAGGTTCGCCTATCGTCCGGTTCAAACTCCTCTCTCGTCATTTGAAACAGGAGTAGAGGTTTATCACTTGTTTTCACTTTATGATTGCGTTTTCAGTACGTTCTAAAATCTAATTCAACGATATACTTCTAACGTCTTCTCGTAACCATTATTTATTTATCTTTGATTTATTTTGATTCAAAACGAGTAGATATGTACGCCCATTGGTTGATTTACACTCCTCCGCTATCTTTTGACACAGGAGTAGAGGTTTATCACATGTTTTCACTTTAGGAATGTTTTTTCAGTACCATCTAAAATCTACTGAAAGAAAGAAAGAAAGAAAGAAAGAAAGAAAGAAAGAAGACAGTTAAACAAAGATGGAAGGAAAACCGGTTTAAAAAAAAATAAAAGATCATTCCATTTTTCTGCTATTAAAAAAATAACGCTGAAGAAAAAAAACAAATAAAAATTAACAAATAAAATATTTAAAAATTAAAAAAAAAACGCTTCCAAAACAAATTGAATTATTTACATTTTTCGGACTCTTATCCCCCTCTTCATTGCCATATTCACAACGTTTCGGCTGCTGTACGCTGCAGCCTACTTCAGGTGATTGGAATTTCGAACCGAACCCTTTATTCCGCCCACCGGGGTAGATTGTTCTAGCTCCACATATCATAACTCTTTCGGGTATCTCAGTTATTTCCCGTTAGTTCAAATCTTCAAGTCTGTCGGTTCGCCATTGATGTGGCCTGGTATTGAACTCACGTCTCTCTGGGTTTAGTCACTTGATGTAAACAACTTCTTTATCCACTGGGCTATGTGTCCTTGAGGATAAAGACATTGTTTAGATCCAGTGACTAGACACAAAAGTGTTGTGAATTCAATACCAGGAAAAGGCAGTGGTGAATCAAAAACTTGGAGAGTTGAATTAAAGTTAATTTTAATAATTTTAACACATTCAACATTATAGATTAAAATCGGGAATTTATATAATTCTTTTTAAACAAATTCACGGCGTTGAAAAAAAAATGACCCAGAATGATGACATAATCCTTTAACATTTTTCATCCTTTAATAGCCAGATGTATTTAGTTTAATCTGCAATGTATATAAATGTAAGTAGAAAAAAAAGCAAATGTTGATAAGAGAACGAGGGTCATAAAGCAAGCTTTCCCCACGCTTGTCGGTATTAGTACGCACAGGACCTGTTAGATACTTGCTTTGGGGTAGAGCATTTTGAGCTCGTTACACAAATTTCACGAAATCAAAGGCTATCACGCAAAAGCTTGAATCTGGAAATATTTCGACTTAAAAGATTTCCAAAGCGTCAGAGAGAAGCAGAGCGTTGAACGATTATAACCAATAAAAGTCATGATAAAGAAAAAAAAACGGTGTAACATCTTAACAGTTCCATATAAATTTTTGTCCACTTTGTATTAAGCAATCTTTGAACATTTTGTGCTCATCCACGGTTGCAGATTGATTGATTTATTTTTTGCGGTTTCTAAACCCATTATAGGTTATTTAACGATGTAACATATCTTGGATTGTAATATATATATATATATATATATATATATATATATATATATATAATTTATTCGAAAATTATAGCATAAATATATTATAAAATCACTACAAAAATAGCCATTTTGTTTCAACACGTCTGGTGTCCTATCATGTAATATAACATTTGTTGAAGCAAAATGGCTATTTTTGTAGTGATTTTATGACATATTTATGTTATAATTTTCGAATAAATTATATTTCCTCTACTCTGTAATGATCATTCTTTTAAGAATAGAATTTTTTGGTTAATGGAATTTATTCCGTATACACCAATCCTATACTTGGATATATATATATATATATATATATATATATATATATATATATATATATATATATATGTGTGTGTGTGTGTGTGTGTGTGTGTGTATATATATATATATATATATATATATATATATATATATATATATATTGGCCTTATCGTCGGGTTCACACTCCTCCCGGTCTTTTTAACAGCTTCTTTTCTTATTTCCTGATCAGGATTGTGTTTCCGGTTCCTTCTAATGACTTCTCCTGCTCTTTCACTCCCAGTAACATCTTGCGTCTTCTGGCATTATCGTCACACACACACATGTTGTTTATATATATATATATATATATATATATATATATATATATATATGTGTGTGTGTGTGTGTGTGTGTGTGTGTGTGTGTGTGTGTGTGTGTGTGTGTGTGGTGGTAAATGTTGCATTAACAATTAACCATGATTTTCTAGATACTAGCCCCACTATTTAAAACATAGCTGGTGGAAGGGGATGGGTCTACACCATTGCTAATGGTATTTGCGCGTAAGTGTATGTAGCGAACTCGACTGGAATTCGAACTCGGCTAACCAACTTCTCATTTCTAGCTTCCATCAATTACACTGTCCGCACATCCGCATGGGTGCTGATGTTAGTCTTCAATAATAATAATAATAATACTTTTAAAATTATGAAATTTATTTTAACCTGGAGTGTAAGGACATATTGTATTTAAGTGTATTTCCGTGTATATTATTGGCAAAATAATCACAATGAATACTCGTGTGGTATTTAAAAAATGACTTAAAATGCTTTCCACTAGCCAAACAATGAGCATTAAAAGGTTAAGCTTTTAGTTGTAAAAACCCAGGCTTGAACTCCTGCATTTGACAAAAGTAAATGATGACACGTGATAAAACCGATTACTTTTTTTGAAAGTCGGATGTTCCGCATCAAAAGGTGAGTGTCCAATACACTCGATTACACCTAATAGCATTTGACATTTGTGCCTGACGTCGTTTGAATTTTCCTGGCATTTCAAGAAACATTCTTATTCGCTCGTTTAAAACTAGGTTGGATTCACATGGTGGGCATCAATGAAAAGAAAACTTGATAAAACTTTGAATTTGTATTGCCTGCAATAGCGACGTTTTATTTGGGCGGCATCATATATCCGTAGCTCTTTTTTGTTCCCCCAATATAAGTTCCAAGATCCACCCAATATACAGTGTTACTAAATTAGCTGGTTGTAAGGGTGTACAAGGAAGGCGCAAGAGATGTATATTATGAGGATATGTAGGATAGATAAATG